GATACTAACCTTTCTTCAGGGTCATTGAACTAGTATTACTAATATGTATAAGATCAAATAAACGTTCTTGAACAGGGGTAGATGCTTGTATAGTTATGGGGGGTTGTGGCCCTTTTAAAATTTTTAATATCTTATATATATTTTCTCTTAATGACCCCTTCAAAATAATTTCTTTTCTCAAAAACATTTTCTTGATCTTGTACTTGTTAGTAATACTAGTGTAATGACCTTAAAGAAAGAGTTAGTGTTTGTTTTTTCTCATTGAAAGTATTTGAGATCTAAGATATGATGATGTTATTAACATGCGTGGTGGACGGAATGATTTACAGGCTTTGGTATTTAATGATTGTTCATATGCATATTATGTGCATTATTATGCTCAAAGATTGCAATTAACATTAGTTGTAGCATATAGAGAAGTGGTTTATATTCATGAATTTTTTACATAATTGACTTTTATTGTAAATATTGTTTATGCTTATTTTAAAAGGTATAGCTAATTACAAGCTACTCAAGCAATTAACATTGCAAACTTGATTGCTAGTGATAAACTTGAAATAGGTAAATAAGCAAATTAAATAGAGACTCTACAAAAAGCTAGAGATACTCAGTGGAACTCACATTTTTATTCTATTTGTAGCTTGATGAGAATGTTTGATGCGACTTGCACTGTTATTAGAAATATTATTGATGAAGGGGCCACTTATTCACAAAGAGGTAATGTTTCTGCTGATAGTAAATATTAATATCATTTGAATTTATTTTCATATCACACTGATGTTTGAGATCACAGAAATCACTAATATTCTTTGTCAAGTGTTACAATTACGCTCTCAAGATATTCTAAATGCAATTCAACTTGTTTCTACTACAAAATCATTCTTTCAGCTGTTGAAAGATGATAAGTGGTCTAATTTGCTTGAGAATGTGCAAAAAATTTGTCAAAAACAAGAAATAGAAATTCTTGACATGGGTGCACAATACATTTTGGAGAGAGATTGATCTCGTCCACTAAACGTAATTGTGGAGCATCATTATCGAGTTGATGTATTCTTAGTGACAATAGATTCTCATTTGCAAGAATTGGATTTGAGATTCAATAGGCAAATTGTGAAATTTTTTACTTTAAGCACTGCTTTAGATTCTAATAACAATTGCCAATCATTCAACATTGATGATATTTGCAAGTTAGCAAAGAGTTTTTATTATTAGGATTTTACGAAGCAAGAAAAACTTATTTTAAGGTTACAATTGAGGCATTACGGACTTGATATACCTCATCACCCAGATTTCGAAAATATTAAGAAACTTTTAAATTGTATTAGAGATTAGCAAAAATAGGAAAGTCAAAGAAATTATCACTTGATTGATAGTTTAATTCACCTTGTTTTGACTCCTTCGGTTTTTACAAGCAACTAGAAAGAGTTTTTTGAGTAATGAAAATTGTAAAAGAAGACTCTGAAATAAAATGGATGATGAGTCTCTTGCAGATAATTTTGTTGTTTATATTGGGAAAACATTGCTAGCTTTTTCAATATAGAGTCAATAATTGATGAATTTGAGTCTAAGAAACATTATCAAGCACAGCTTTCTTAAAAGATTATTGTAAGTCTTTCTTTTTTCACTTCTTTTGATTTACATGTCATATAAAATTATTATTTATTATGAATCTTTTAATTATTAATTAAGTTTAACATATTATTTTTAAAAATTTCTAACCCTTATTCCTTTATCTTTGGCCTCTCAACAAAAGTTGGCTAGCTCTACTCCTGGTTAGCAAGCTCATAAGTCCCTTTTGAAGAATGAAGTGTGTTTCGGTGGTGAATTATAGAAAAGAAAGTAAAATAAAAATAAAAGGACAAAAGAGAGAGAAAAAGAGAGAGAAAGAGGTGTGGAGAAGCTTAAGAGTTAAAGAGGGTAAAGTTGAGTGGGGAATGTGGGGTCATTTTGCTATTCTTTATTTGTATTAGTTATTAAATAACAAAATTATTTTGAGGGGGCTATTAAGAGAAAAAATATATAGTATATAAAAGATTTTAAAAATTTTGGAGAGGCTACAACCCCACTATAACTATACAAGCATCCGTCCTTGACCATTATTCATTTAACATATCCAAATGTGTAGTCACACCATGTCACCCAAATCAAGTCCACTAATACGGGGATCCTTAGGATGCTTCCAACATTCATCAACCATGATACAATTGAATCCACATGGTACATATGAAATTATACATGATCAAAAAGGTATACGTTTCTAACAATCTTTATCATGTACCATATCGTATCGTATCTTGTTCAAATTCTCAACAAGGTTACACATAATATTCTGTCAACATTAAATGCATTCACAACATCCTATCAACTCATGGTCAATGTGACCAGCAACGCATTTTATCAAGATTAAATCCTCAAACAAAACTAATTTCAAATAGCTTGCCTTTCCAGCAATCTTTATCACAAACAATATTTTGCTCGATTCTCAACAATAAGGTTAAACATCATATTTCCTCAACATTATGCGCATTCACAACATTATTTTCAACTCATGAGCAACATGACCTGCAACACATTTCATCAATATTTAATTCATCAAACAAGCTAATTCAAATAGATGCTTTTTCCCTTGTAAATACATAATGGTAGGCACGTTTACATAAATATGTATACTCTACCATAGCTTTTGAAAGCATACTTTAAAACATCATTTCAATTCATATATGACTCACAAACACACATCCAAGATCAGAATATATCAAGTATCCAATTGCGCATTTGAAAATTTATATTTCATGCACTTTTAATATCAAAGTAGTTTTGATGCAACCCACTCATAAGTTTTGTTGACTTTTCCTTTCGATCAACTCCAACCCTCAACTATCATTCTGAGTGGATGTGTGGGTTTATAAGTAGACTTTAATATTTTTGTTAGCTAGTTTCCAACTATTATTTGACTAGTCAACCTAGTGCCAAATTCTGCTTTTTCATGACTCCATTAGCATTATCATTTTCTAGCACTTAACTCATTCATATAATTCATAATTCTAACATTGAATAGCTCATTCAATGCCAATTTATTTCAACGTAATGTCATCATTAAATTAGTCATCTACACCACTCAATCATTTTAACAAAAATTATCAATCTTTTCATTATTCTATTAATCCTCATTCATCAAAATAACATCTAATTCACATTCTAAAACATTAACCATCTCAATTATCCCAATTCAAGTACCATTTACCTTTGTTGACTTGTGAAGTTTTCCTAGCACAAACAATAAGGGTAGTAGATAGCATTAATTAATTAATTAAGAACTAATCGCAACTTAATCATGGAAGTTAGGTTTTTGATATACCTTAATATCTAGACTAATTGGAGGTGAAAAGGGCTTGAAAATGAAAGTTAACAACACTTGAAAGAAGTCTTGTAAGCTAGTTTGAAGAGAGAGAAACTCTGTCTTTCTAGAGTAGGTTCGGCCAGAGCAGGAACAACATGAAGGAGGTGTTTTTGAGGATTTTGATGGGAGAATATGAAAGAGGATGGTTGAAAACATTGGAAATGAGCTCAAGAACACTACATTTGAAGTTAAAATAAGTAAGATACAAAGAAAACGAGGAGAACAACGGCGAATACCAAATGGTAGGTTTGGGGGAGAGGAGAAGAAGAAAGAAAGAAAGAAAGTAGGGTTTTTATACCTGGGGCGTATTAAGGGTCTTGATAAATGACCGTTTTGCCTTTAAGGACTATTTATGTTATTTTACACATTTTTTACAAATAGGAAATCTCCACTGTGATTTTCTTTATGCCACTGATTACTAAAGTTTCTAAAATCTATAAAAAGTTATAAATTCTATTTTTGGATGCATAATTACCATTTTACCCTTAGTATGGAAATTACATCTTTTCCTCTGTAAATCTCTCTATTTTTTATTCCTTTGCTTTCTAAGTTAAATAAGCTTCAATAATGTGTGAAAATTTAATCCTAGAAGTCCAAGGATTATCTTAAATATGGTTAAATTAACTATTTTCCCTTTTTGGTTAAATGATCATTTTACTCCTATACGAAAAATGAAGATTTCAGTGATTTGGTTCAGCAGGTTAGTTGTCCTTGTAGACTAAATTCAAGCTTTTCAATGGACGTGCTTAGCTATTTCTTTCTATCTCATGGTATGCTCTGGATTAGCTGACTGGGTGTACCTATTCTCCTCATTTACTGCTCAAGCTCTCCCATGGAGTCAACTCTATTTTTTTTTGCAGAATGCAGACCGAATCTGTCTGAATTGTCACCTGTGATGTTCGAAATTGCACAGAAGTGTAGAGTTAGTGTGCCCAGAGAGTTCGTAGTTTGTGGTAGCCAAACCTGATTTTGGTAGTATGTAGTAAAAGGTTGTCAGCTAGGTATTATTTGATATTGTTCGGTGACATTAAAATTGTTCGGTGACATTAAAGCTAGGATCACTTGGGAGAAAATGTCAAATCCTTTAGTTGTATTCCCCGGCTTTTAATTTCTATTTCGATTTTGGATGTTCTTTCTTCAGTTTCACTTGCTTGCTGCGTACAGTAATTGCTCAATAACAAAATTGATGGTGTTGTTGAATTTTTTGGTTTGTATGTGTAATGTTTTTGTGCCCTAGAGCTTTTGTCATGAGTGGTCTTTCTCAAGCATATTGCAATTCTCAAACTTTTACTAGTTTGAGAATTTTAATCACTAGTATATTATGTGTGCCCCTCCTGTATTAAACAGCACAAATCATGTTGGCCTGTGTTGGAAAGTTTGGCAGATGATTAGTTGTCTTATATTTCCTCTAGTTGTCCTTATTGACCACATGAAACAGAGTAATGCAGCCAATTCTTTTTGCTCATCGAAGATGTGATTGAAAGTGTTTTTTTTTTTTCTTTTCTGATTCTGGTTCATTTACATTGCATTATAGCTGCTTCTATTTAAGAAATTCATTACCTTTTTTTGTCTACTTTTTTTCCTCTTTCATCCTTTTCAGGCAGAGCTTTACAGAGTTAAAAAGGCATTTGACAAGGCAGAACCTTTGTATTTAGAGGCCATCAACATACTAGAGGAGGCATTTGGCTCTGAAGATATACGGTATCTAGTGTGATTACTTCGTGAACTATGGCATTATTCATATATCATAAGGATCAGATCTCTGGTACATTCATTTTGCACATTTGTCTTTCAAATGATATTTTAGATTTCATTAAGATGGCATATTTAGGTGCATTTGCATAGTTATATAACTTTATAATAATTATTTGTGTTTCTGATGCCATACAACATACAGCATCTTCATTTCTTTTAGTGTTATAACTGTCAATTCTGGTTAGGATTTGATGCAGAAGAAACTAAAGCTAATTCAAAGTAGTTTCAAGGAGAAGACTAAGATTTGGTAATTCAATTACCTTCTTACTTTGGTGTCAGATCTAGTTTGTGTTAAGAAAGTAATTCGCATTGAGAAATTATCATGAGGAAAGAAGGAATCAGCAGGATAAGAGAAAAGCATAGAAGAGATGAGAGATTGAGAATCCTATGAACTTAGTTTCAGTAATCATTCAAATAGGTAAACTTCAGCTCAGCTCCATGCATTTTGCTTGTTTTAACGGAAGAGAGGGATTGTTGTTTTGAGTATTAAATTCTCATTGAAATTGGTCTTATGTTAGAGAAGATCTTAAATGTTTTGAAAATATGTCCTAAACTCAATTCCCAATATTAGAAAACATTGAATATGGACCTAATAAAACCAATTTAAAAGTTTAAGATGCTACAGCATATTAATGCTACAGCCTTCAGTGAATGGTGCTAGCAGTAATGTTTAGTATTGGGCAACAGTATCTCGCCTAATTTTCCAATTATTAAGGAAAATATTATAGATAGGGAACTCTAACATTTAGAAGAATCAAGCTAACGGAGTAAAGGAAACACTAGGAATTAAAAAATGCTCCCATTTAGTTCAAAATTTTTATACTGTTGAAGGTTGTTAATGGAGATGATCTTTGTCCAAACATGAAATCTATTTGGAATTTATCTCCTTAGGGAAATAGGTAATTGGTGTTTTGTTGACGTATTGCATTTTCCAATTTATGATTCGAAAAGGTAGATGTACCAGAAGACAGGTACTGCACACACAAATAGACAGTCATTGCTGTTATTAACACAGTTTTAAGTTCTTCCACTGTACCTTATTAGTTATAAATTCTTCAATTGACATCCTTCAACTAGCATGTGTAAGGTTTTGCTATGTCTATGTTAAGTGACTTTGATTTGATTGTCTGGATGCTAGCAATTACCTACTTAATATTTTTATTTATATTTGCTCATTAAATTCCATTATCATAATAATACAGTGTAGGAGTTGCCTTGCACAACCTGGGACAGTTCTATCTTGTCCAGAGAAAACTGGAAGAATCTCAGATGTGCTATGAGGTAATTGAATATGGTTAGAGGGGCACTGACTTAGAGATTTTTTTTGATAATCGATATTTCTGTCTGTATCAGTTTCCCTCTGGTGGATTGTATAAGTAGTTTTAATCATATATTCCGTTGCTGGAGATGCCTCTTGTTTTCAATTTTAAAGAATTCTATTGCATTGTTAAAGACATGTAACTGTTGCACTGGTATGATGATAGCGGCACCAATATCCTATTAACTTGTTTATGAATGAAATTTTGGGTAGCTAGTTGGGTATACACAGGATGTTTGGTGGAGAAAACTTTTCTTACTTTTTCACGTTGCTTTCACTATGTCATTACTTTTTGTTACAAAAACTGCTTATATGAGTAATGACACATGTCATTAAGAGAACTCACGAAGAAGGTAATGAATGACTATGGAATTCAGAATTTTCAACCCATATGGGAGTAGTTAAAGGTTGCAGTCTTAAACAACTCCAGTGTGAGACACCAAAAAGGAGAAACTGAAGTTACCAGTAACCTTTTCTACAACAATTGATCAAAAAATAGTATCAAAGCTTAGGTAATGTCCAGTGTGTTAAGCTGAGGATTACAAAGTTCAGTGATGTTCCAGATGTGGAAATGTTATTTAACTTGATAAAAGACACATTTTGTACTATGGTAGGGGCTATTGGTTATGTCAATGCACAAGCTCTCTTAACCTTCTAGTCATTAGGCTTTGGTATTCTTTACTTCATCTATAGAATTATTAGTCGTTAAATACTGATATTATTATTCCTTTTAATTTTGTTCCTTTCAAATGTTGCTAGTTGTTTGTTATTTGTACTTTACATCTAGCAAGTAGACAAGGTTTTAAGTGGAAGACCAAGGTTATATTGTAATGAGACAGCTCCTTAGTTGTTATTATTGGAGAACTTGGGTCTTTTGCTGCACCATAAGAATGATTGAATAGCATGTCACTGCTCTGATTATTATGTCATCTGGATTTCAGACGATCGCAGTATTATGACATTTAAATAGCCACTCATTTTTCAGTTAAACTTAAAAATTGGCAATAGCTAGTTCTTTTCTAGTGCCCCTGCTTCATTATTTGTCCCCAAATCAAAGTATTGTATGTTCTCCCTTGGTTGGGAAAGGGGATGTCTAGTTGACCATCTAATTATATTTTAACTTGCAACTCATACCTTTGTTTTTAAATTTTATTATTATTTTTATATCCTTGTTTTAAACGTGAAGTATTTAATTGTAAATATTCCAGCTACCATTTGATAGATTAAATTTCTAAATGCTTCGCTACTTTTACACTTGCCTAAACATGTAGAAATGCTATTTATTTCATGTCTATTGGGATTTTAGTTAATTTTAGCTTCATTAACAATTTGGTTGTATTTGGCTCAAATTCTATGGTGCATTACAGTAGATTTTACCTTAATTGAATTCATCAGCATTTTTTTTCCATGTTTGACTATGTTGAAGTTGATTTACCAATAATATTTTTCTACTAATAGTTTCTGACGACTTCATCTAACATGTTTTTTTGTTTTTGTTTTGTTTTTTTTTTCTATAATTCCTTGGACAGCGTGCTTTAAAGGTATAATTCAGATATTGACATAGTTATTTTTTCATGTAGATATGTATATGCATTACGGACAGAGACACATGTATAGGATTAGAAAAAATTTTCTTTTTAGTGTTTTCAACTGAAATGAACTTTGTAACTCAAATTGACATTTGTTTCCTTTTCTCAATTATTTCTTTGGCATGACTAAAACTATACTACATAATGGTTCAGATAAAGGGACGTGTTTTGGGACATAGCAACATAGATTATGCAGATACGATGTATCACCTTGGCACGGTAATTTGTCAAATCTCCATATTATTTCGTATCCTGTTTTAGTTGCTACAGCCCCTTGGATTATTAATCATTTCTTTTTCTTGTGTTCTGCTCATTTTGCTTTTCAATTATAATAGAAATCAATTATCACATCAATATAACCACATGACACATGGCTTCGTTACTATGCCCCTCAGCACATATGTGGATATCAATTGTCACATAAATTTATCCACGTGGCATGTAGGTCTGCTATCATGCCCCTCAGTCACATTAATATCTATGTCAAGACATAATCAACTCCGTATCTAGCCTCTAGACATTTAAATCATCAATCAAGTCGAATCCCATCATATACTCTATATAATGCATGCAAACTCACACCATGCACAATACAACATATACTCAATTTCACAAAGTATATGGAATGGCAACATTCAATCATGCTCGGGCAATACACTAAATAAAAGTTTGTTCCTTATGTAGTTATTTATAAAACATGTATATCTATGTGCCTTTCACATTTCACAGTATATCAAAATTCTAGGCACATTTCGACAAATCAATAATCATGTATTTCCATGAAAATTGTTTACTGCAAGCCCACTCACCTAGTGTGCCACCAACCACAATTTAGAATTACCTAGCTCAGCTCCTCTAGCCATCAATTTTCGGAGCTTCAGTGGGACTTTAGGCAACAAATTATATCGTTAATTTCAAGCATTCCTTAATCTTCAACATGTCCCTTCACAACCAAACTTTCATTATCAATTATGTGATTTCACCTAACATGATCAATTTTGAAACTAGTTGAATGAACCTCATCTTCCACCATTTTACAATTAATCTTGCAATTTCAGTACATAACATCGACAACACAATCTAATACACCATCGTCCTGCCTCAACAACACAATTTCAAAAATACAATTCAACTGGTCCTTACCTTAATGAACCATGGAAATTAACTAACCAAGACTCCTAACTTATGGAGCTTGTACGAGTTGAAAGCTTATAATCAAAGATTTTAGACCGAATAAATTGAAGATGACAGCCCAACAAACTCAAATCTCACTTAAACTCCACTTACCATTATACCAACCAAGTCTAAAATATATTATTTTTATATTTATATTTTATTTATAATTAATTATGAGGACACTTGTGGCTAACTTGCTTGGTGAAGAAAATTACTTGAAAGTCAAATATGAAGCTCTACGCTTGGCGAAGGAATTATTTGAAGGTTAATGTAGGAGAAGGCTTAGCTTGAAGCACGAGGGAGTTCATTCATTTTTAATTTCTCATGGCTTCCTTGTCACTTGAGGATGTCAATGTGGTAGGAAGAAAGAAAATGGTGCGAATAAGTCTTAGAGCAGTGAAAAGAATTTTCTTCTTTTTGATACTTGCCGGAGAATGGAAGAAAGGAAAATGGCTTTTAGAAGTATAGGAAGAATAAACAACAGGATTGGACGGAACACGTTACATGATCCACGTCTTTGGAGGAATGAAAAGGAATATGCAATAAATGCTTTAAGAACCCATGCGTGGCATGCAAGATATGTGCCACATTATTTTATTGCTTTTTCTATTAAAGGGCTAGAACAATGTGGCATGCAAGAAGCATGCCGCATTATTTTATTATTTTTCTATGAATGGGCTAATTGCCCATTAACCCTTGCATCTTTCTTCTTTTCTTATTATTTTGTCTTCTTTTGTTCTCTTCAATTAGGTGCCTTATTATTTTCTATTCTTCTTGCTATTTACCTTAGTAATTTCATTGTTTTGCAACTTAATCCTTAAATCTTTTCTTGATTTTGCTATTTATTCTTTTTTTAATTCCATTGTTTGCAATGCAAACCTTCATTATTTCAATTTAATCCTCCCATGATGCAATTTAGTCCTCCATTGTTGTATTACTTTTCCCTTTTTTAGCAATTTCATCCTGCTTACATTCAGTCACATTAATCTTTTATGCAGTTGCATCATTTTTCTTGCAATTACATCATTCTTCCTTCCATTCGATCTCCATTCTTTATTTTCGATTCTCTCATTTTTGCAATCTGATCTTTATGCATACTTTTCCTTTCAATTTAGTATGCCAACGGTGAGATTTGCAGTAATGGACTCTTAAAACATCATTTTCCTTATTCTCTTATTTTCTCCTTTCTCTCATTTTATTTTTGAGCTCACCAAGATGGTTTTCGAATTTAATTAACCGTATCAAGAAATTCGGGTTTTCACATTCTCTCCCACTTATAACATTTTGGTCCTCGAATTTAAGCCAATCGTAACTGTCCTCAATTTCCTGAATAATTATGGTTACATTGTCCTCAACTTATCAAATCATTTGTAACTTACATGATTATGGCAGAACGCTTTCATTGAGGCTGGTTTTCTTTGACCGAAAATTCCCTGACTTGTCTGCTCAAGTCTCCATTATTTAATGTGATTTAAAGGCATAACATGATTTACACTTGGCTATCCTTGCCTGTTTGATCTCATAGTTATTTTGTCACGATCGATGTGGGTGAAATCGCAGGTGTCCACTACAACAGTTCCTGTTTACCACCATACCTGCTCAGTGACAATAGATGACATCCATTGGGCCATCTACAGGTGGAACAGCACCACCGTCCCTGTTATCCCCTAAAAGGAATTCCCATAGCAAGCTAGAACTATTCGATGATTGTACAAAGTATTCTGCCAATTACCTCAAATTCATTTGCCTAATCCATAAATCTTGAGTCACTACTCGCATTGTACAAAACTACCATGTAATCATGTAGTCTTATCACAGTAGGAATCTTTCTTGTGTTTTAAGTTAACAAGGTCATCTTAGCCAAACATACTTGCATATCCCAAATGTATCAAGTTATCTCATTATTACTTCTGACCCAACATGGTTGTCCCGTACAAGGACATACTCACATGCCTTAGGGTACTTGTTCTAAATTGGCCTTCTCAAAATATTGTTGGTTGACTACATCTCTCAACCTTTATGCACCATCTAGGCTAAAGGCTTCCATTAGAAAGAGTAGTACTTTTTAGTTATGCATTGCCTTAACAAATCTCAAACTTATGTTAGGCTGAAGTCTCCCAACGGAAGTAGTACTTTACAGTTATGCATTGTCCTAACAAATCTCAAACTTATATCAATTGGAAACTAACTTCATGGTTTGTTGCTAACGATTTACAATCATGATGGTCCAACTACCATCTTACTCCATGTTCAGCAATTTCTCTCTTCATAACTACCTATCATTTAGCTAATTGTGAGGTTAAACTAGTCAAAACTTTCTAAGGCACTCCCAAGTTAGTGGTGCCAATGTCCATAATCGTCTAGTAGGTCGCATTCCCATGGTGCATTACATGTACCCTTAACGAATGGATCAATATTGTTACTAACATATTGGAAACAAATATTGCATACATAGTCATAGATGTTTTGGCTCTAGCAGACCTAATAGTCCTGTTTTATCTACCATGGCCCCTAGCCACAGGGTACGTGATCCCATTAACGTTTCGTTTGGAGCGTCTTACTCCAAAATCTTTCTAATGGTGGCTCGTGTCTTAGGTGGCATTCTTACCTAGACAAGAGCAGACACCGATCAATTTCCCTTACAATTCATACTCAATCACTGGTTAAGGGTAGGTTTCTAAACAACATGGGATTCCACGTAGCCTCCCGCTTGTGGGTTGCCCTATGGAGCACAAACCACAAACAAGACTCTACACAAGACTCTACACAAGACCCCAACTCTCCGTTGTACAGATAACACCCCTAGGACTCATCTAAACCTAGGGCTCTAAACATGGCATTGAACTGTCACCATGTGTTTTAAAAGGAAGAGAGATTTGCTTGGTGCGAAAGCTAGTTGGTAGCATTGAAGTTCTTTTATATGTTACCTTTGAGCAAGAAGCATTGTCTAATTTTAGACAAAAATTTAGAAAATAGTGTCATTTGCACCTTTTTTGTTTTAATTTTGTTTTATTTCTTTATGTCGGCACAATTTAGTGTTTGTCAACCTTATATAAGTAGGTACTTTTTATCAGACTTTTGAGGTAGCTTTTGACACTTGAGATGTTTTCATTTAAGACATGAATATAGAAACTTGAGTTTTGTGACTTTGGCAATTGATTTTTTGATATATTAGTTGTTGGGTTTGAGATTACTGATGCTAGATCAATCTTTTAATTTTTTTCTTGAACAATGATTCTAACCTGTAATTTGAATTTGAATATGTTTTCTGGGTTCACACTGCAATTGTACAAGGCAAGAATGTGTTATAGTGATGCCCTAGTGCTACAATAGACATTACAATAATCTACTCAGCTTCTTTGTTTTACTGTTTGTCTTTGTCTCTATTCTCAATAATGTACTTTATTTTCATGTTAGAGTGACTTGCCGTTTAACTGCAGGTACTTTATCTCCAAGGAAAAGTAAAAGACTCTGAGGCCCTTATTCTGGATTCTATCAGAATATTAGAGGTGCATTACTTTTTCGGTCAAAATTAGTGTTAAATGGGTGTTATTGTGTTGTATTTGGTGTTTCCAGATCTTATTAATGTTTTAAACTATCCAGGAAGGTGGTCAAGGGGAGTCAATAGCATGCATCAGGAGATTACGGTACCTGGGTCAGGTTGTAATTCATGTCCTTTCTGTAGCGTTTGGGTATAATTTGAATAGTATTTTTTCCCCATTACTAGATGATTGTAGCAACAATGCCAAGGGAACAGCCCTAGATTTTATAGGAGTTTTACCTGGTTAGACTAATGAAAAAGACTCCATTATACTTATTTTGTGGATCTCTTGAGGTGAAATGGAAGTTTATTATCATGGCACTTGCTTCTTAGTTCTGTCTGTAGTTTTCTAGTGGCTCTTGGTCATGTAAGGTGGCCAAAGGTAGGCCATTGTTTGAAAATTTGATGGTAGTTCACTTCCTTTGTCAACTTAAACTTCCACCTACTAAACTAAACACGTGGAGAAACAAGATTTCTTTGCTTATTGAGCTAGTTATGGGATTTAGGCAGCCAGACCTTATATCAGACCCACCTACGTCCAGTTTTAATGCTCATCCTTTTTGGCTTTCCTCTTATGTGAAATGTCTATTCATCTGTTTGTTGACTATGTAAAAAATCCTCACTTCTTAAGACATCTGTAACCAACACATACAAGTTGAGTGATTTGTTTGGGAATTGAAATTATATTAGTCCCTTCATCCCATTGAAGTTGGCATATATGGAAAATGATAAAAATTGAGTCTACACCTTAAGAAAATGTAAAATTTTATGTACAACTTATTAATTACTTTTAACATACAATTTTTTCATACAAGATGGTGCACCTGCTTGAATGTTTAGTTCCTTTGATAATCTATGCTGCATTTTTTAAACGCATGTTGTAATGATATTTCATGTTTGTGGCATTGTACTTAATTTTCCATTTCCTTGTTATCTGGTTACTGTGCTTCGCTGCCTGGCATCTGTATGACCTGATGCAGGAGCACACCAGAAGTCATCTAAATTAGTAATTTTATATTTTTTCTGTTTTACCTTTTGTTTATAATTTTGTAATTATTTTTATTTTATTAAGTGTTCATTTGACTAGCATGTGATGTTTTGATGAGTTTGAATGGATAGGATTAGATGGAATTTATCTCTGATCCCAAGGGCTAGGATTAAAAGGTTCCATAACCTAGTATAAATAGTTTTTTAGACTCATTTGGCAAGCTGTAGCATACTTAGATATTATTTGTTAGTGGTTCTACAACCCGAAACTCTAGTTTTTCTTGTTCTAACTTCATTTTACATCTTAGCCTTTATTCTGGTTTTCTTAACTTTTTTTATTTTCTTTTATTATTTATACTCTCTCACTACATCATGATCACTTACATTGTGAATTTTTTTTCTAGATATATATAAAATCGAATCGTTCTGCCGAAGCTGAAAATGTACAGAGAAAGATCCTTCATAGTGTGGAATTATCTAAGGTTTAATTTTTTCTCTTTGCCTCATATATGTACGTGTATGTGTATGTTCTTAATTGCTATTATGCATATGTTCGAAGGTATGTGTAGGTGTTGGTGAATCAGGTTGTGAAATTCATACCCTCTCAAGAGTTTTTTATTATATCTTTTCAAGCAAATTTTGTTTGAAGTTGAAATTATATAGACTTACATAACCTTTTTGTATCTTGTGAAGAAACTCTTATTATCCTACTTGTTGATTTTAGAAGCCCTCTTATGGTCTGTTTATCATCTTCTCCTACACAATTTGTTTCTTGAGGAAAGAATTTCTTGTTTCTATTTGGAAGATTTTGGAAATAGCTTCCCAAGACAAATCATTTTCCGCTTTCATTTCACATTTCTTCTCGTTGATGAATTGTCTACTGAAACTATTGAGCAATATCTAGGGAAGATTTAATGATGATTTTTTAAATGCTTGTTTTGGTTAATCACGCCTGACCTTTCCTCTAACAGTGTGCTTGGATAGATAGGAGAGAGGGGAAAAGAAGAGTTTTAGGAGAAAATGAAGTGACTTGAAGTGAAATTGAGTCACTTCAACATCTCGTTGTTTGGATGGTAAAGGAGTGGAGTTATGATTGTACAATTCTTTGACCCAGGTTCTATTGAGCTCAAACAATATATTTGTAAAAATTATATAGACTTAAATTAGTGAGTTTTCCTTTTCTCTCCAAATTTCACAGCTTTCTGAGACAAGAACTAAAAAGTGGTTAAAGCATAAGCAATAATCTGGCTTTTCTTTCTTTCACTTCTCTCTGGAATTGGGTATTCAAATATGTAAAAATTTTATCATATCTCTCCATTTTACTTCTCTTCTGTCCACTACTCTCAATCCAAATACATTTTGAATAATCTCGATGCCATTCCACTGTTAGCCATATAGCAGTGTGATTTAGGACTGATATTGAGTAATCACTGTGTGTCGCTTTTTTGAGGTTAACTATTAAGTCAAGAAAATGTCTAAGGCTTTCTAATTATGGTAGAAAGATAGGTTGGTTAGAGGTTATTTAGGGCTTTTTTTTAACTGGGATTGAACTTTGAAGGAAAATGATGTGGAGATTTCCGCTAAAAATGGGTTGTTTTTGAAGAATTCAGAATCCCATGTCATATGGACTGCATGAGAAGTATGGTTCTCTCACAGGAATAGACTATTGGTTTGTGCTTTTCACCAATCTTTGGGCCCAGGAGGTGGCAGGATGAGATTGTTTGCACACTTCCACTTTCCAGAAGTGTAAAGTGTGAGATGATCTCTCCTTTGGGGGCTTTATATTTTGTTGGAGTTATGTTGACTTAAATTTTTACTGGAAGCAAGTAAGGAATTCATGTGCCCCCTCAAAGGTGGCTTTTTTTTCTCTCTGGACTGTCATGATTGTGAAGATTTCATGGCTGGTAATTTTGTTAGGAGGAAGAAATTCTTTGCTTATTGGTTTTGCATAGGCAGACAGATTGAAAAAAGTTTTCATATGAATAGCAAGAGAATTATTGTTCCCTCACTGTCGTAGACTACCTATCTGTCCTTTATATTGGGCTAGTCAAGTAGGTTGGTAGGATGGGATTCTGTGCACTCCTTCTAGAAGTAGAAAGTGTGATAAAACCAGTATTATTAAGAGGTACGCCTACAAACACCTAGGCACTAATGTGCTGCACAAATAAAGCATCTAGCACCCCTTTGTGCAAGGCATCTTTGATGAGTTGCATGCCTTTTGCACCTAGGTGGCTTTTTTCGAGGCAAAAGGCAAATAAGAAGTCAGCCTGCCTCAAATGTCACTTTGGTTTCTTTAGTTTGTAATTTCTTTATTAGCGATCTTTTAATAGTCCGAAAAGGAAAATATAGCTCTCTTTATAAGAATAACCATTGTATTGTACAGTCCATGCACAATATCTTTTATTGAGAAAAGCAAAAACCAAGTGTAAGTTTTTCTGTATTAACTGTCTAACCAAAGAAAATCCAATCTTATTTCGGATTTAGAAGTTTCATGCATTGGACACGTCTTCACCCCTAATCATAACCTGCTACCATTTTTATTAACGATGCCTGATCCTTTAAAAATTAGTTCCTTGCATCACTTGGGTTAGTGACCTTTTTGCACTTTGTACCTCAGGCACTGTGAGGGTACTAGAGCCTAGAGTGTCCCTTGCACCTTTGACAACTTCAAATGAAACCTCTTTTTTTTTTCCCCTTTCTATTTGGTCCAATGGGCTTTGCAAGCACACTTACTTTAGACCTATTTTGCTCATTTTGGCACTTTAATCTGGTCATATATTCTCCTCTCTCTCCGTGAAGAGTTGATAATCTCTAACAGCAGTTTCTCTTTGCAGCACTCATTTTGCTGTTTGGAGTTTTACCCTGCTAACAAGTGTTAATGAACTTGTACCAACATGATACTGAGGTTCACTACAATATAATTTCTATAGGAGAGCACTCAAGTTAGATCTCCTAGTTTATTACTTAACACTGTACATAGGGAGTTGAATGTGTGCATTTGGAAAAACTGTGATAGGAGCAGTCATACAAAAATATTATTATGACATTATTTAAATCCCAGTTGCATGGTGAAGAACACATTATGTGCTAACGTTTCTACTAAGATTCTTATGAAATATGATTTAGAATTTTTTACTCCCAACAATTTGCCAGAAGTCCCAAAATGCCTTCAGTGTCCAATTGCTAGCATCTTGAATTATTTTTGCTTGGTTCCAAATTTTCTGTTATCACTCTTTGCTTTAGTCGCTAACTTTTTTTTTTTATTTTTTTTCCACAGGGATGGAACTCATTGGACACAGTAATTGCTGCCGAAAGGTTGGCATTAACATTACAATCATCTGGGAGCTTAAAAGAAGCACAAGAACTTCTTGAAAGGTGGGTGATTTTGGTATTTATTCAACATTATGATTGTCTGTGGTTCTAGATTTCATAGTTTCCCTGCAATTTTCGTTGTAGGTGTCTTGATGCTCGGAAAACATTACTTCCTGAAGATCACCTCCAGGTACGGTGTTTTGATGCATACAGATAAGCACTATAAAGAAAATAGATTTGATATTATTTTGATGACTTTTTATGATTCAAGAAAGGATTTTCATTGTATGCTGGAATTCTAACCAAATTGATTACTAATTCCATGAAAAATTGGAATAAATCACCAAATTGAGGATTCTTATGTTTTTCAAGGTTTAGAGATTTCAAAGTAATTATTACTGTATGGTTTGTAGAGTTACAAAAGAATGAATAGTTGCTTGTTTTGAACTTAAAATTAAGACCTTTTCTATGTTGATAAAAGATGCATTTTTATTTTTTTCTCAATCAAAGATATAGATTTTATTAATTATCATGAAACTGATACAATATCTTGCCATAGCCAAGTAATAAGGAAGACAGAACCCCAGCAGTAGTCTGTCGTCTCACAACATGCCTAATGATCACATCATATAAGTCCAAATAACCACATTACAGGGGACCATGGTGAAAACAGGATATCCAATATTGATCCTTCCCACATAAGCACGTAGACAGACTTTACAATAGATGAAATAGACATTAAAAACAAAAACATACACTTGCTAACAAGTAAACCATTCCCTGGTAAACACTTCATACCCATGAACCAATATCACACCAGAAGTATCACACTCCATACCTACAGCACATAACACAGTCATTTAACAAGGCTACCCTGAAATCTTATACTCCTGCAACTGGAAACACTCCAAGGCACAACCATCGACCCCTAACATCAACCATTGCACAAATAACACCGAAACATGGCCCTGCACGCTCTACACACCAAGCACATCACAATAACACCATTATCAACAGATGTCAAACCAAGAAGCCATACCAACACAGAACTCAAAGTATCATCACCATGCATAAAGCATTTCATCTCTATCTACACCAAACCTAGCCAAAGCATCTGCCATGGAATTTGCCTTCCAAAAATATGATGGAAAGAAATGTCACCTATAAAATTACAAAGTCCATCCATTTCATTGAAGGTTTTCCATAGGTTCCATGGCCTGAAACTACTTTCCTTTACCCAAGACAAAGCTAGTTTTGAATCTGACTCAATAATAAGCTTATTGGAGCCCACCCAAGCTGTAGATGCAAAGAGTTTAACAACATAAAAAATAGCCATGAGTTCTGCATAATTCGAGTCTTGTATTCACAATCGGCCACAAAACACGCCTCGTACGTGGCCATTGGAGTCTCTAAGCACACCGGCGCACCCCTCCAGATTCAGTTTACCATGGATGGAGCCATGAACATTGAATTTAAGTTCTAAAGATTGTTATTTTGGCAATTTAACTAAGTTTTTGTTCTATTTCCAGTGTCAGTCAGCTTGCATGTTGGAAAGAATATTCTGTAATCGAGGATAAACCCATGTAAAAAAAAAAACTTCTTCACCAAATACATCCTCTTTTAAATTTTTATTCATGATACACATTTGTTTTTTGCTAAAGCAGCACTAAAATTGAACTTTAAAAGTATGTCTTTATTGAGTGTGTTTTGTAAACATGTTTCATATAAAAATGTGAGCCAAATTCATCAAAGCATGTTTTCTTTCATGTTTTTAACACCAGAAGAGTTTGGTTTATAACTTTAAAAAAGTGGATGGCTTTGGAAAAAAAAAAATTGTACTTGGATGGGTGTTATCATTGACTCAAATGTTCTGCGTATAAGTTCATGATTGCCTCTTTCCGCTTTTATGTTTGATGCTCTGCGTTCTATGATATTTAAAAATTTTGTGAGTAATTGGAAGTCTCCCATGGTATTTAATGTTGTTTATGATATAAGCTTCAATGTTTGGATATATTCACTAACTTTTTTGCTTTTGCACTTAGTGGGCCCCAACATTCTTATAAATTTTAAAATATTTAATAATCTCTTTTGCATTGGTCTTTGAACGAGTACAAACATTCGCAACAAAGCTGAAGTCTAAAGAGAATTTTACTTCTATTCTATTTTATGTTATTGTCTGATTTAAACTAATAGAGAAAAAGATGAAGAAAAAGACTACTGAGGAGCAAATGGTTTTTGTAAATTAAAGCAGAATTGCTTTCCTTCTATATGGACAGATCGGAGCCAACATGCTTCATATTGCTAGGGTGGTAATTAATTCCAATCAACATAGGAGGATGCATGTTTCTGATGCAATTGCTGAGCTTGACAAGGCAAAAGGTCTTTTAAACAATTCAATAAGGTTAGTGCTGTTTCATCTCCTCTAATGATCCTTGTTAAAAAAGTTTAAGCACTGTCCAACGAACATTACCAGGAAAGGAGAAAGAAGCTAAAACTAACTTTACTAAGGATATAGTCTCAAATGGAGCAATATGATAATGTAATCCTTGCAGCAGAACAGTTTAGTGGGAAAATTCATTTGTTGTTTACATGCGTTGACTGTTAGGAATGCATGTTGCCCTTTCCTGCCTCTACTTGTTTTTTACAGATATTTTTTCTCATAGATGACTACCCAATTACTAATGACCGAAAATCAATCTGCTTTGGTGAATGATCTTTACCTAGGGTTTGAGGTGCTGCCATAACTATTCAATTACAACTACGTTCTACACTTATACTTGTCAGATGCCACATAAGCAGACTGGGTTAACAGTGTTTAAGTTTGGCCTAAAATGATACATCATTTGAAAGTTCAGGGTGCAAATTGTATTTTTTTTTTTTGTTCAGGTACCAATTTATAGTTAAATTTCCAAATTTTTATTAAATGTGGGTGCACCCATGCATTTGTATGTCTCTGATTGCATGCATGTCTGTTGGTAACTGGTTGAGTTGGTTGATGGCCCTGTAGAGTGTTGTGACTGGGAAAGCAGATTAATATGCTTGATGCTGGATCTTTGGAAACAAAAAGAGCTGGATTTTGGGAGGACTAGAAATCCAGAAGTCCTGTAAAAAAACAAGCAAGATGGTGTTGTTAAGAACATTTTATTTGATTGGCTGTCTATTCTCTTGTTCCTTTTGAGGTCTTTGAGCTGATTTATGGGCCTCTTTCATGTTTCCTCTTTTTGTGTCATTATGCCTGTATTTTGTCCTTACGTTCATTACCAGATAAAGAAAAGAGAGTGCTCCGGAACCTATGTTCTGCCACTTTTTATTCTTCCATTTAGTTAATGATATAGTTAGGATCAAATATTTTTCTTTGACATAGGTTAATTTGTTATTTCTATACTAATAATTTATTCGCTGGTGTTCTCTTTATATCATAGATTCTTACAAACAAGTCTTGTTCATTTCTCTTTACATGATAGAATAGCATGGCAAGTTACTACTAAATTGAAAAGACAAGAACGCAAGAAGCAAAGTTATGGAGTTTCTGGAGAAACTGGGAGGGATGGCCATGCGGCACTGATCATACTGGTTAGTTCCTTCGTACATACATTATTTGTGCACTTCTTTTCCGGTAACTGTATAAGATTCTGCTGACTGTAAAGAGTCAAACAAGTCAACTTTGTCTACTCCCATGGAATAATTACTTGTCAAGTTGAATATTTTGGGACAGAGGGAGTATGATATAATATGATATTGTTTACAATTTGGTCAAGTATCGTGCTCTCTTTAATGAGCTTGGATTCTCAGATTGATAACAACCAGAATGAGGTAATACTAATAGAATAATGTTTTCCCAACCTTCATCCTTATTTATACTTCAGGTCTTGCATTGTGTTTCTCCTTCACTAACAATGCAATACCTGTGAAGAGGTTGTTTTTGCTGATTGTTGGATTTACATATTTGTTAAGATCTACATAGAGGTGGCGAAATTTGATCTGAACCCAAAAGCCAGTCCAAACTAGCAAGAAACTGAAACTGAGCCGAACCAAGCTTACTCAAACAGTCAAAAACCCAAAACTCGAAGATATCCAAACTCGAAATGTTCTGGCTCAAACGAATGCGAACCTAAAAGAAGCCAAAATTGATATAACTTGTATTAGAAACTATTTAAATCCAGTGCAACCTGAAACCAATCCAACCCAAAAATCCTCATAACCTGAATTCCTTACCTGAAATGACCTGATCTGTTGCTAGATGACTTTTCTATAAAATGAAAAAATATCAAATGATAAAATATAAAACCAATTAGTTTAAAATTTTAAATATAAAATAATTTTTAAAAATAAAATATTAAAATTTTAAAATTATATGATCTAATAGATATATTATTTTATATTTACAAAAGAAAGAGGAAAGACTATTTTTTCCTTTGAATTAAAAAAAAAAAAAGGTAAAAGAGGTTAGGTTCCTATGCTGGGCAATCTTTTTAAATTTGGCTCCAAAATTCTAAAATTGAAATTATTACTCTATATTAAAGTAATATTGAGGCATTGAAAATAAGCCAAGACATATTAATATTCAAATGGTCAAATGTTGAATTAGGCCAATATTTATTACCCTAAACAATGATCCCAAATCCAAAATTATTTGAATCCAAAGACAACCCAATTCAAACCCGCCCATTTGCCACCTCTAAATCTGTTAGTTGACAAAATTGATTTTGGTTTCCTGCCTGGTCCTAGAAATTAATGATGAACTAGTCATATTAAAACATAAATTGAATTACGAAGTCAACATTGAGCTAGAGATTTAGATGCTAAAGAAATGTTGTTTTTACTTAGGACAATTCTTTTTGGTAGCATGGGAATTTTGCAACATAGAATTAATATTTGTGGTTGTGGTTGCAGTTGCAGTCGCTTGATGCATTAGGGCTTTTGGAGATTAGCCGTCAAGAATTGCAGAAATCAGGGGTATTACTAAGCTTATGGTTCTTGGCATTTGCTTTTTAGAAATAGTTTAAGATTCATGCACGTTCTTGCTTCAGTCAGGTTTATATATATATATGCTCAGCTACATATATTTATTTATCACAAACACTTATTAATTGATGAAGTTTGATATGATAGCATTTAAATCAGTGACTATTACAAGTCTTCAATACTCGCAGTGTGAATTTGCCTGGTCCTTCCTTCACCTGCATTATCAACAATTATCATCAGTATTTAAAACCTGTCAGCTGGTTGTGAAAATTCCCATGACCGGTATCCCTTTGCTTCTTGTTGAGGCACAGCTTCATTCGTAATTTCACCCTTCCCTTGAAAGGAGGCTCCAAGTTTAAATCTCCTCTCCTGCTAATCACTATTTAAATTCTAAAAGGAGAAAAAGGAAAAAGCTACCCTTCTGCATTTGGATTATCTCAGATGAAAACCAGTCCTATCATCCTTCTTCAACGTTCTTGGATAATTTTCTTCTTTTTCTTTTCTTTTTTTATTTCAATATTTTGGACAAGTAGATCAGTTATGTTTCTCTTCACCTAAAGTAATCCTATTTGAAATGATATTGATAACTCTAGATGTTGATTCTTTTATTCATTCTTTTTTTCTGGATATAGGGAAACAATTGGTAGTTTACGCACACTATTTTTTCCAAATTTTCCTTCAAATATTCTACTAATGTCATCACAATTTACTAATAATTAGTATGATTGAATTGGGATACAGGACAAGTCTTTATCTTCTCCTGAGGCTAAGACTGCACATTTTGAATGCATTTCTGCCTACAAAGAGGTACATTGACTGGAAAATATATTTCTTCATATATATCATTTATTGCTTCTTTTATTTTATTCTCTATCTCTCTCTCTTTCTATCATATATATATGATATATATATCATATGTATCTTGTGTGTCTTTTCCTTTTAAATTTCTTCCAGTCATTTTTCCCCCCTTAAATTTTCTCACTTATCCTTTTTAGTGGAAGGATAGGATTGAAATGAGGTATAATGATTTTCAAAAAAGGAAATGAGGTCTAATGATTTTTCTCCCTTTTCAGAAAACAATGATGCTTGTCCCCACCTCCCAATGCTTGAATAAGATGTATAAAAAGGTTATTTTGCATACACGCACATGCATCTTTAGATCATTTGTTTATGAGATGAAAATTGGAATTCTTAAATGTATGTCTCAGTATTCATTAATAATTTCTGGAGGAACAAATTGGAGTGCAAATGAATTAACAAATAAAGTACTAAAAAGTGAATGATTAAACAAAGATGAGAAAATGTTTACAATTATGTGGTGCATTAGAAGTTTTCTCAATCCAAGTTTGTCATAAACTAGCAAAGGTAATATAAACTTCAAGGTTCAAAATGTTAAAATGTTTTGTTGCTGGGAAAACTGCAAAGTATGTCAACTATCCCTTTTGTACTATATTTTTTTTGTTTTTAATATCGTGCGTTATATATATCCTGTATTTCTGGAGCACAATTGTTAGCTTTTGATTGAATGTAATCTCCTATGCAGCAATGCACCTCATAGCACTTCAAAACCAAATTAGAGATTAATCTCTTTTACTCCTACATTTTGGCATATATAATTTGATATTTGGATTGAAACCTTGATGGATTCCTTGACATAGAAATCATAAACTTGAATTACGGATGTCTTCACAAGGATGTTAATTGTTTTAAATTTTGCACAATGCAGTTTGCAACTGAAAGGTCAATCAGTGATTCTCCTGAAGTAAAGGCCAAATATCTTTCTTGTTTGAAGCACCTTTCAAATCTGCTCGATGCTGAAGGGATACAACAATATAGAGGAACAACATCACGAGACCTGAAGGACGAAATCAAGCGTGTACAGATTGATATTTCTTCATACAGAAGGCGCAAAAGCTAAAGCCAGCAGCTTATTTTCATTTAACCGTGTTTACCCTGGGAAACACAGTAGGTCTCATTGTTATTGTAAGTACCTGCCATTCACCCTTCTTATATATAAAAAGTTTGACTTTTCAGTGGGGTATTGCCCTTTGCTAATTAGGCTTTGTCCCACTTCCTTAGATTGTGCTTATGTGCACGAGAGTTTTGTTTTTCTGGACAGTGAATTAACAAATAAAGTTCTCTTTAGTCCTCCTAGGAACCCAACTGCTACCTACCTCTCAGTTTTATGTGGGGTCGAATGCCCTTTTCTATTGAATGGTCCTATTCAATTCTGACAGCGGAGCAAAGGCCCAAATTGGATCACGAATAAGTTAGATTTACATTACATACAGCATTTCTCTTAAGAGGAAGTTGGGTAACTAAGAAGGAAAACAACTAGTACCAGCTTTCATTCCTACTCAGTCCATTTGCTGCTGTCCTTTCTGGAAACTTTCCCATGGATAGGAAAAAGAACACAAGCAGCTCCGATGGATTAGCACAGGTAAAAGCTGCTGCATGGGCATGGTACCAGCATAGTTCTGGCTCGGAGGGGAAGCCCATCCGAGAATTCGACATCACAAGAACAGAGCGAGCCTCCAGCTCCAGGCCTTCACGGTACAAGCTGGAAGCCATGAGAAACAATACACGCAAAGGGAATCATAGCATGGAGATGGAGGGATCACCATCACAAACACCTAGATCCAGTCCAAGCATCCAAAGCCAGAATTCTCTCCTGGATTCCTATGAAACCGAAAGCATTTCCAAGCGACTTAATCATCTCATTGAGTTCGGTGGAATCAAATTTTACAAGGAGTTATTAGGCATAGATGGTGATTACCATAAGAATTTGTACACTGATGGTGCTGGCAGTGGCAGTGATAGGAAGAAAAAACCCAACAAGTACTTGAAAGGGTTTCTGCTAAGGCGTGCAGTGGTATGTGGCAGAAGGCAAGACGTAGATGACAGAGCATTCAGGGATGACCGGCGACGACCGGAAAAGCAGATGGCCAACCCTAAGCCAGGGGGAGCAGCCCATGGGTATTGAGAAATTTGCTTGCAGCGTCTAACCTTTTTGGGTGGTTCGGTCGTTGGCTACGTATTTAAATGTCTGCTGCTCATACGTGTTCTTTTTGGGAATTACATGCAGCCTCTTCTTGATAAACACAAATGTCAATATACTCAAATCTTGATGTTTGATTGGCTCAAACCCTGCATGGAAATTGTCTTTTAACATGTCAACATTTCAACAACAACCTCTTTATTCTTTCATACCAAAGGAAAAGTGAAAATGTAAACACCTGGCTTTCATATGTTTCTTATATCTATATTAGGATTTGTGTTCATAGTTGCACATGATCAAGTCAATGACAAAACAACCCCTCCTTTCATTACTTGTCAAAAAAGTTTAACCATTTGCTGAAATTGAAAAGTTTTTTGTAAAAAAAAAAAAAAGGAAAAAATGTTTATGAATATAAAATATTTTACCAGTTAATAAAAATTGTATAAATCAATATTAAATAACTTAGATTTGAAAAGAGTGTAAAACATTTTTCATCTCTCGATCTCTCTTTATAATATTGATATTACTTTAAAATTATTGTCATTCCCTTGTGAGATTGATCCAACAAAATAATAAAAGCATCATTATTTTTTATTTTTTATCTTTCTATTTATTATCTTTTTGCTCAACAAAACATTATTGGTTATTTTTATTCAATTATTTTATAGGAATTATATTCCTCTAATTTTATTTTTATTAAGATACTACAATCAATTTAATGCAAAATATTATAAGATCAATTAAAAAAATTATATAAAATTGGAAATAAGGTTTTTACACATGAAAATTTTTTCTTTTTTCAATTTTCAATTTTCAATTTATCAACTTAACAAACTAACCAGAATAATAATATGATGAGAAATAAATAAAAAGGTTAAATATTATTTATATAATATGTTTAATCTTGAAAAAAATATTTTGAATATATTAGAAAATGCATATATATTAACACTTTTTATGATGATATGGTAGAAAATTATTAAATATAGATCATGATGAAAACTATTTTTATAAGATAATTTAAATAATTAAAAATATTTTTGATAATTTATCTAAACAATTTAAATCTTTATATTTTACAAAAATATTTTATGGATTAATGTTTGAGTGAATATTAAGAAGTGAAAAAAGAGGGGAACTTTTAAAGGGGAAGAGCCAAGGTTGGTGCAGATGGTGCAGAATGAGATACAATGGCAGCTACCCAGATTGCAGGACAGCTGCAAGTGGCAACAAAGTTTGATCCTGATGAAGCAGAGGTAGACAGCAAGCATGTAACACAACAGAGTTCAGACAGCAAGAACACCAGCTAGCTGCCACTGTCTCAACAGTCAACACATTCAAATCATCATGCTTGGATTGGAGGGAATTAATATCTGACAGGTTAAAAGGTTGCAGGGTAGAGAAGAACTGAACAGGGAAACTTTTATCTCCAAATCAAACTCAGAAGTTTATCTTATTTTATCCTCATCTCTCTTGTACTATAAGTGCATGCAAATCCAAGGCAGTTTTCACTCAAAAACGAGGGGGAGAAAGAAAGTAGATTAATGGGGGAAGGTGGCGTCGTGCACTGGCAGCTGGTGACCCGCTCCAGCCCCGAGTGAGAAAGGGAGAGAGGGGAACGTGTTATCTTTTGAAAAATTAAAGAATAAATTAAATATTTACTGCTGTCGTCTCATCTCATTCGTTTATTTTTACTCTCTTCTGTTTTTCTTCTTTGTTTTCAATTCCTTCGTGTATTTTTCCTCCCCTCTTCTTCTCTCCTCTACCGCACCTTTCCTTTCTTCATTCTCTCCATTGCGGCTGATCTGATAGTGCCACCTTCCCTTTCTCTTTGTTGTTATTTTGGCTGGAATTCAATCATGCTGACACTTGAAATCGGAAGAAAATCGAAATCTTTGACTCCCTCTCCTGCCCAACTCTGTTGTTTCTTCTTCTTCTTCTCCTCCTCTTCCTCCTCCACTCCCTGGTACTCTCCCCCTTTGCCTCACCAAGAAGACCCAATTCTCACCACGCTCTCTCAAGCAATTAGAAGCTCCCAAACAAAGCCGCTTCACATATCTCTCAAAAAACTCCTCCGTTCCCTTACTCCCTCTCATGTCATCAACCTCATCACCCTCAACCCTCACTCTCTATCCCCACTCTCGCTCCTCTCCTTCTTCAACTTCCTTTCTTCCCATCCCCCCTTTCGCCACACGCTTCGCTCCTACTCCACCATGGCTCATTTCCTTATTACCCACAAAATGTTTCATCAAGCACGGTCTCTTCTCCATTTTTTAGTCTCTCGTAAAGGAAAAGGCTCGGCTTCTTCGGTTTTTACTTCGATTATCGAAACTAAAGGTACCCATCAGTGTGGCTTTGTTTTTGATTCTTTAATGATTGCGTATACGGATTTGGGTTTTGTTCCTGACGCTATTCAGTGCTTTAGGTTGGTAAGAAAGCATAAATTTAAATTACCATTTCAGGGTTGTAAATATTTGCTTGATAGAATGATGAAGATAAGTTCTCCAATAGTGAGTTTGGGATTTTATTTGGAAATTTTGGATTATGGGTTTTCGCCCAGTGTGTATAATTTTAATATTCTGATGCATAAATTGTGTAGAGTGGGTCAAATCAAAGATGCCCAAATGGTGTTTAATGAAATTGGAAAGAGAGGTTTGCTTGCTACAGTTGTCAGTTTCAATACTTTGATCAATGGGTATTGTAAATCAGGGAATTTAGAAGAAGGGTTTAGGTTGAAAATAGCTATGGAAGATAGTGGAATCCGTCCTGATGTTTTTACTTACAGTGTTTTGATTAATGGGTTGTGTAAGGAGAGTAGGCTGGAAGATGCGAATGGGTTGTTTGAAGAAATGTGTGACAGAGGGTTGGTCCCAAATGATGTTACTTTCACTACCTTAATTGATGGACAGTGCAAGAATGGAAGAATTGATTTAGCCATGACAACATTTGAGCAGATATTGTCAAAAGGCTTAAAGCCTGATTTGGTTATGTTCAATACACTTATCAATGGCCTTTGCAAGGCCGGGGATTTAAAAGAGGCAAAGAAACTTATTGCTGAGATGAGTTTGAGAGGTTTAAAGCCTGATAAGTTCACTTACACGATACTTTTAGATGGATTTTGTAAGGAGGGAAATATGGAGTTGGCAGTTGAGATTAGGGATGAAATGGTTAAGCATGGTATTGAGCTTGATAATGTGGCTTTCACAGCCCTTATTTCAGGGTTGTGCAGAGAGGGAAGACTCATCGATGCTGAAAGAACATTGAGGGAGATGTTAAGTGCTGGTATGAGACCGGATGATGCTACGTATACTATGGTCATTGATGGATTTTGTAAGAAAAGCGATGTAAAAATGGGTTTTAAGTTGCTTAAGGAGATGCAGAGTGATGGCCATGTGCCTGGTGTTATAACCTATAATGTTCTTATGAATGGACTCTGCAAACTAGGGCAAATGAAAAATGCTAATATGCTGTTAGATGCTATGATTAATTTAGGGGTTGTTCCAGATGACATTACATACAACATTCTATTAGATGGTCATTGCAAGAAGGCAAATCCAAAAGATGTCAACAAATTAAAAAGTGAGATGGGGCTGGTAGCAGATTATGCTTCTTATAACTCACTAATTAGCGAGATTGGTAGATCTTCAAAACATAGATAACCCTTTTGAGAGCAGGTTTGCTAAGTGTCTATTGTCACGCCAAGCATTACCAAAGAAGTAGGCGGAATGTTTCATCCCCCAGCAGTCGGGCATGGAATCTTAGAAAGCTTATAAGTGTGGGCATTGCACACCTTTGCAGGTTAGCATTTTGAAGAGAGGGTAATACTTTATGACAAAGTGATATCAAAGTAGCGGCGACTTTGACCTGGCCTATGCCAATCACCTCCAAATGGGAGGCAGTTAGGGTGGTCATCGTCAAAAGAGGTAGGTAGTCTGCTTCAATCTCACATCGGGCGGTAGGGGTCTTAGAAAGCTTATAAAGGTAGGAACTACATTCCTTGTTGCGTTAGTGTTTCGGGAAGAGTGTACATCTATTGTCTCAAGATGATGCGACAGACATGAATTTTGGTTTTTCTAGCAAGCAGTGAAGTTCAATACAGTTGATTACCTAGATCTTCTGGATAGCAACGTTGATTGAGATTCTGGACAATGAATTTTATGCAACATTTCTGGCAAAATAGGAGTAAGCAATCACTTGAGGGAACCACTGTGATGTAACATAGCCTGGTTATCTTGAACTTTGGAATTTGATATTTCCTGTATATTAGCTTTGATCATTGTGCTAGGGAACTCTCAAGATGGAGGTAACTGTTACAAGAATAAAACAGCTACAAATTGAGGGAGAGTGCTCATAAAATGAAGTCATGTATTTTGATCCAGTCAAATTGTTCACAAGGCAAGGTAAGATCCTGTCAGCGCGCGTCAGGATAACCAGCACCCTCAACTTGATTTTCGGCCCCAAGCTCGTTGAAAAGTCATGCCTGAGCCTAGGGATAGTGTATGTGAATCAGATAATGAATCTTGGTGATAATCAATCTGCCATATGGTAGAGCCCAAAAATTAAATAGTGACTGGGACAGGGGCTCAAATGTAAGGCTGTCAAATTGATTCAGTATGAAGATAGCTAAGGTTGCTTGACCTCTGGGCCTTCTAACAAGTCATTATGCTCCTGTTTTTAGCACCTTACCAAGGTCTCAATAGGTTGTCTACTAGCACTATTTGTATATACGGAGTCACATGCAGCGACTTTTTGTGGTGCTTGCAAGAGATTTATATGAATGAAAATGACTTAATATGCTTATCTTTCCCACCTGAAAAAGAAAGAATAAAACCGTTCGTGCGCATTCTCACACAAAATTGGAGGTGGGTGCAGCTGGGCCACTGGTGTCCTTAAGGTCCAGTGCGATGTCTGGGACCCTGGTGCAAAACTCAGCCGCAGTTCACTGAGCCTAAATGCCTCAGCAACAAGCCATTCATAGAAGAAGATCCCTTCACTTCACTAGAGAGTCCACGTACATCGTCATTTACTTGGATAACAACCCATTATTCTCGTGGCACAGTCTTAAAGGATAAAAGAAGATAACGGCAATGAAAATTCGAAGAGGAAACATAAGGAGGTATCTAACAATCAATCATGCTTAAACTCTGTCCTTCTTCATTTCCATTTTGTGTTTTTTTGGATTGAATTCAAGTGTATTCAAAGAGAATCTTAGAAGCACAATCTTTAATTCTCTATTCGTTTTAAGTATTGTAAGTGGAATATATATATATATATATATATATAACATTTTCAATAATCTATCTACGTAAAATTATTATCATTATTAAAAAAAAAAACTTGCTGGAAATTATGTCTTGCCTAAAGCTGCGTACTCCTGCATGCAAAATTGTTGTAATTACTTCCCCTCCATTTTCTCCTTTTCTAGTTATTTTTAGATTGCCATGTCTATAGGACCTTCAGGCTCTGCCACCTGACTTCTCTTCTTCCTTCTAAAAATTCCAGGAAGCTAAATATTCATTCTTCAATTGATATTTAAAGGCGTATTACCTTAAAAAGTGCTTAAACCATTCAAGAAAAATTTAAATAAGCTCTTAGACTTTTATTGTTTTCAATCAAGTTTTTATATTTTTATTTTATGTTAAATAAACCTTTGTACTTTTATTTTTAATAAAATAAACCCTTACGACTAATGATTGATTTAGTCAAAATGTAATTTTTCATATGCCACGTCACGTTGTCGTAATTGATAATGATGTGGTGTATTGACATATCATAATTGATAATAACGTAACATGATAACATGATTATGTGACATTTTTCACCATTCACATCAATGCCAAATGGTATTTTGACTAATAGCAAGTAGTCAACCATCAGTTATAAAGATTTATTTAATTTAAAATAAAAATACAAAAATTTAATTAAACACAATAAAAGAATAAGAGTTTATTTGAATTTTCTTAAATAGTTTAGAAATTTTTTAACATATTATGTTATATTTAAAACACCATTTGAGGCCTATAAATATTCTCCAACAACCTTAACAACCCCCCTCATATTATTCTTTTTGTTGAAAGTACAGTTTTTAATTTTTTATTTTTGTTAGGTATTGTATGATGAGATAATATTTTCCAAAATCCTTCAGCATCTTAAAGAAATTTATTATCTTTAAAAAAAATTTCTCGGAAGTGTTTTGCTTAAATTTTTTATCTGCATCATTAATTAAATGTACACATATATACACAGAACAACATACTCCTACAAAATTATAGTAACTTCCCCTTCCATTTTCTCCTCTTTTAGCTATTTTTAGGTTGCCATATTTTGTCATTGCTCAACACTTGTTGGGCTTAAGTTCCAGCAGACTGACATATCTTTTATCCCTTAAATTCTAACCACTCTTTCTCTTGCATTATTAAATTTGCATATGAAACTTTCATATAAAAAATTCAAGTTTTATTGTTAGTTTGCCCCCTTAACGTTTCAATTAAGCATGACATGAAAGTCAATTATGTGTTTTTCTATAGGCTAAAAAACTCTCACCGTCTTAATTTTTAATCATAATTTCATGTAAATCTATTAATTTTGAAAACAAATAGTCAATCTCAAAAGAAAATCTTTCAATAGACACATAAATTCAATCCTTAATCGATCGTTAATATTTTTATTAGTTTGATGATGTGATAATATTAAAAAATAATTTTATTTTTTTTAATTTTAAAAATTATCATACTACATAATTGTATAAATTTTTTTAATTTTTTTTCCAATTCAAAACTAAAATCTATCTCCTACCTCTTCCCACAACTAGAGCACCAAATTCGGCTCTAGTCAAGGAGCGGCAGATCTAGCTCCAGTCGAATCTCCCTTTTCCCACACTCCATAGGGAAGTGTTGATCTAGCACTTCCCATGAGAGCCCCGCCCGTGCCCTCAACCCCACCCCCCACAACTAAATTCCGCGCTGACTTGGGGAGCGTGCACCAGCAAGGGAAGGGAGCATCGATTTGGTGCTCCCCCTCACCCCACCTTAGGAGCATCGAGAAGGGAGCATTAGATCGATGCTCCTAAGGGTGCTCCCCTCCCTTGGAGAGCACTTGCCATGGGGTGATCGACCAACGAATGAGAATTTAGTCGACTGATCATATTATTTGAAAAAAAAAATTAAAGAGAAAGAAGAAATGACATTTTAGTCTTTTTATATTTTTTTATTAACAATGTTTGTATTTTGGATCTCATTATTTATTTCATAATTAATGAATCTGTATAAAGTTTTAATTAAAACTTAAAGAGATTTAGGTATTTTACGATTTTCTGTAATATGTTGTTTGCATACGAGGGAAAGAAGCATAGAACAAAGCAAAGGCATCCCGGGTCACTGAAGCAAAAGAAATGGTCATGATTAGAAGTAGGTAGCTTACTTTAAAGTGGCATAAGCACCAGGTCCAGCAAACTCGTCTTTCCATGTTTGGAGACACCCAACCTAAGTTCCTGTGGATTTCTTCTAATCCTTCTAATGTCTGCTTTCTCTTTGTTGCATCTAACGGCCTCTTTTTCATAAAGAATAACTATTTAATTTCACTAGCATATAGGCACCTTCAATTTAAAAGCAAAACAAGTGCTTTTTCCTTTTAAAAATTAAAAGCACAACGGCTTCAAGTTCAAAAGTCCCTTCCTCGATTTACTTTGGATAAAAAAAATTATATATCAATAAATAAATTTGATCATAAATATTCAAATGTGTCTAATACATGATTGTCAATACCATATTGGTATCGGTTGTATTAGTCAGTATGTACTGATTTTAAGAAAAATTGATATATCTAGCACTATCATTCTATTTTACTCTTTGTATCGAACTATATCGATTCATATAGACCATTTCGATCCATTTCAATCATATCATTCAAACAATGTTATTTTGAATTGTATCAGATTTTATCTCCCTTTTTATTTTTATTTTTTTTAAGTTTCTCCTTGTTCATTATCATTTTTAATTTTTCACAATTTGATCTAAAATTGAAAATGTTTAGGCTATTGTACATGTTTAATGTTAACTTGATATAATCCTAATATTTTTTACATATGTTTCATTTGTTTGATGTTTGAGAATTATGAATATGAAATACTATAAGTTTGAAAACTCGTATTAGCATATGAACATATAAATGTACGTAATTAAAGTGTGTCTGTATATATATATATTTGATAGACAATATTACGTAATATCAATAAATTTAAAATGTTACATGGAAACAAAGTGATATTTATGTTAGTGACAGCCTTAGTTTCAAAACCTCAAACATTGAAAAACAAAATATCTTATACAACCTATAAGCGACTCAAACCCTTCATCAAATGAAATCCGAAGACCATACGATAAGGATGCACATACCTACGCCATGCATGCCCATGGAAGAGACTATATATATATATATATATATATATATATAAGTTACCCTAAAAGCAAAACAAAAACGAAGAATGAGAATCCTTGTTCTGAAATCCCACCCTCTTGATTGGAAAATTGTACAGTGCTGAGAGCACAAAGACGAGCTAGTACAGAAAGGACAAGGAAAGATGACAGAAGTGAGGATGGGGTTCAGCAGAGGCAACGAGTGGAGAAGGAAAAGTGTACTTGGGGGACCATGAACCCTACTTTTAAGCGTGTTTGGTAATAAAGCAAAAAATATATGTTTGCTGAGCTTAGCAGAGGCAGCAGCAATGACCAAATTCAACAAAGACGGTGGGTGTTGTTTTTCACTACCCAAATCATTTGCTGAAAATCACTTTAGTTTGGTCAATGTTTTTGCTGCAGAAAGTGAGATTCTGAGGGCGTGCGTGTTAGTTTCTCGAGAAAATAAGGCTGAAAGTGATTTCACAGCACACCACTTTTGTCTTTGCCAGCTGTTCCCCTTCTTTAATTTTCCTTCTTTGTTCGCTTCTTCGCTCGAATGATGCCTTGCTGTCCTTACAGGCCTTTGCTTAACCCCATTTCTTATTGGCACCTGGGTGGACTTTGGGTAGTGCTTTTCCTTTGGTTTTACTCTCCATACTAAACTTTTCTTTCCAAGAGAAATTAAAAATTTAGAGATTTAATTCGTACGTTGTGTTCTATTGGTGTTTCTTTTGGTTGGATTCCATCCAAATTTTGACATTTGACCATTTATCCATAATCATTATTACATTTGTTTTATTACCCTTTCATTTAGTGTGAACGTTGCATGTGTACATGAATTTATAAATATAAATACAGCACATTTTGATAAATTGTTTTTTTAAAAAATATATTATATGTCATAACCCATGATATAACTCAAAAAGTATTTAAATTTCTTTTTAATGTGATTTTTAAAATTAATTGTTTATATTATATCCAATAAGATTAATTGTTTGCCATTAGTCACCTATTTTATGGGAAAAAAAAGTTAACATAATACTTGAGAATACCCTTAAACTATTTAAAAAAAACATATTCAAATAAGTTTTTACTTTTCTATTACTTCATTCGTATTTTTATTTTTAATTAAATAAATACTTATTATTAATATTTGATAAATTATTTTTAATTAAAATATTATTTATTATTTTATATTTATATAATATCGACATGACATTAATATTAAAGATTAAAAATATTTCATGATTCTGTTATTGTATCAAATTATCATCCATTATGAAATGTTAACATCACATAACATAAAATGATAAGTAATATCTTAATTATTAAAAATTAATTATTAATAATAAATTTTTATTTAATTTAAAATAAAATTTTTATTAAAATAAATTAAAAAATTTATTTAATTTTTTTAAAAATAGTTTAAGACGCTTTAGGCATTATATCAAAATAATTGGCAAACATGAAAGCACGAGCGGCGGTTTCTGATTTCCTTGAGGGAGGCGGTGGAGGCCATCACAACAGCGAAGCAAAGGAAAAAGCCCTTCAACTTTGGGTAAGAAGCAGTTAGAAAGTGAAAACCGACATGATTTAGAAATGATGGATGAGATAAGTGGCCACGTGCGCAGAAGAGGTTAAAAGTGAAAATATTTTAACTAAAATTAATGAATCATGTGATGGTCGGGAATAAGAGAGTAAGCAATATCCAGTGTAGCCTAAGAGTCGGCGAAAGGGTTGGGACAAGCTGTCGTCTACTTGGCATGCATCCAACTAAAACCGGGCCCCGCTGCCCTTTTCCTCGTAAACTCTTTGGGTTGTTGGCCTGTATTAATTATCCTACCTATATACGTATACGAATACGTATACAATTTGAAGTTAATAATAAGTTACATAAATAGATGAGAAATTAATGTTTAATTAAACCCCATTTTTATCTTCTCGTAATAATGAACATGCTAAATCATGTAAAAGGATAAGGGGGTGATGGGAGTGGACTTTAAATAGTAGAAAGAGGAAAGATGCTTACAATATCACGATGGAGTGCTATCTTTCTATTTTAGGTGTTAGATACATGATTTATCACATTGGTTGGAGAGCTGTCCATTTCTACCAATTCAATCAAGGAAAGTAGTTGAATTTCGTGATGACCATTACCAAAGCCCTTTGTTTTGTTATCCTCATCGCTCTTGCCAAAAATTTAGGTCTTTTTCATTTGATTGTGTGGTTTATTATTGCCCCCTTAATCCAATCGTTTTCATTATGATATTTTCTTTTTACTTTTTTTTTCATAGTAATTTTTTTGTTTAAAAAGTTCAACAAATATGACGAACGATTCTTTATTATTTAAAACATATTTTAATATTAAATAAAATATACTTCAATTTACGATGCTTTTTTTAAAATTTTATCGGAATTAATCAATTATATTTTAAATTTTGGATTGCAAACCCATTTTGAACAAGGATCATGAATGTATTAAAAAGAAATACTAAGAGACAAAATTAATGGGGGGATCTCGACAAGAAGTACAAAAGAAAACGATCCACTTGATAAGCATAATTTTTACATCCTCTTATATACACTCTAGTCTGGCTCCTCATCCCATCTTTACCATCATACAACAGTACCTCAAGTACATGCAATGCTTAAAACCTCTCGGATGAACACGTGACACGTGGCATGTAGCTTCATCTAGACCGGCTGATAGGATACGATCATTCGGGATGATCTACGCTGACAGGGCCATCTTACTAAGTAGGCACAGCAGCCCCCATTCTCATGCACACAAAAGTGTGGTAACATTATATCACCATTATGGCTCTATGCTGCTGTGCTGCAATCAGCCTTACCAAATCCCACTCTCCTATTCGCCAGATCATATTCCACCCATAGATTTTGTTGATGAACGTTTCCGATTATGTTGCTGGCAGCCCCAAGCATATTGGAGCGTCCGATCCCCAAGCAATGGACCCCACCCCCGACATCAGCCAGCATCATCTCCTTCTCAACGGTGATCTCCACCCCTTTCTCAAACTCCAACACCATATCGCCTATCAACCGTCCGATCTCAATGGGATTGCCATCAAAACACATGTCAGCTACTCCACCGTACACGTAACCCTTTTTTATCTTGGGACCCACCAGTCTCACCACCTCTTCCCTAACCTTGTTGTAGGCGTCATCGACCAAGTAAGTAAACTCGGAACCCGAATCGATCATGGTTTGACCAGACCCGCCTGCGTCGGGTCGGAAAACGGATGTGGGAATGGGCAGTTTTTTGGCTCCGATTCTTATCCCCTGCATCGGAAGAGTGTAAGCCAAAGGATCCATGTTCGGCATGGTTCGACTTTCCGGGAAAATCATAAGGTTAACATACTGAAACCCGCGGGAATTCGGATTTTCACCGAGGTAAAACGACCCGGTGGATGAAAACCCGGGTTGAGTCCGACGAGTAGGCACACAATAGGAAAATTTGGAAATTTTAGCTTGAGAAGCAAAAGACAACCGTCCGAGGTTCATTCCCAGAATACCCTTGTCTTCGCTTGTGTCCGTGGCACAACCAAGGATCAAAGGAGGGGTACTTTGGGAGCGGGAGAAGGTGAACTTTTCTCTGACCAGGTTGCCCTCGGCAAGTGTTCCATCGGCGTAGAAGTAAGAATAGTGGCATAAACGGTTCTGGTCGCAAGAAGTGGGGAGGGTGAAATCGGGAATTCGAGGCTTACAGAGAGGATGGGTACATGGCAAAACAGAGAAAGAAGAGGAAAGAGAAGGATCAAACGACGTCGGAGGAGGAGGCGGCTTCCGAGCAACCTTCTTGTGACACTGAATCCAGGAGAGTTGGCTCCCAGTGTCCAACACCATCTGCTGAGTCTGCGGCGGAGTGCCTATAGGGAGAGCCACGATCAGAGCCATGGAGTACTTGAACGTCGTCTTATAACTATAAGAAGATGGCCTTGGCTGAACCCTCGAGTTTGGCGTGGTTTCTGAAACCGAAGAAGGGTAGAGAGTTCGAACATTGTCACGAGAGAAACGGAGGGAAGTGAGAGGAAAAGAGAAGGAAATCGAGTTGTTCGGGTCTTGCGCTGCCTTTCCTTGTGTAGCGACAGAGAGAAAACAAGTCGCCAGGAAGAAAAGAGAGGTGTGAGGCTTGAAGAGAAGAGCCATGGAGAGGAGAGACAAGAGAACGGAAACTAGGGAACAAGAGACAGGGTTTGAACGTTCATGGAGTTAGTGAGGCTGCACAGAGTGCGGAAGAGAGGGTGGGATTGTACTTGTATATATAGCAAAGGAGGAAAGAGAAGAAGAGCGATTTGAATGATAGGACGACAACACGAAGAAATCTACAGAAAAGCGGACGCGTTTTCTTATTGAGCAGTTAGATCTTATGATGAATTTTAATTAAAATTGGTGGCCACCATTTTTACGATTTTACTACTGTGTGATTCAATCTCTGCAAAACCAAAATATCTTTCACCTAAAATAATAAATTCTCCTTCCAGGGTACACAAGTTTGCAGATTTATTCCAACGTCCTTTTACCAATATTTATGTCTGTCCTTTGTTTTTCTTGTCTTATTTTTGTACTGCATTTTTTCCAAAAGAAAAAAAAACACAAACCTATTTTGTACTAAAAATTTTACTAATTTTTACTATTGAAAAAGTAAAAACATAAGAATTTCAGTAGAGAAAAAAAATAACAATATTCATTGTCAAAGATAGAAGGAGGCCCCAGCCTGATTAAGATAGACACATACTTTTAAAAATTGCATGAACTATTTTAAAAACTTTAAATAATTTTTTATTTTTATTTTTGTCAAATAAACTCTTTTGTTAAAGATAAAAATTTATTAAATAAGACAGGAGAAGAAGATCTCTATGCAAATCTGGATTTTAAGTTTAAGGGGATGAAAATGAAAAATTTAATATTTAAGAGAACAAGATTATAAAATTTTTAAGAAATAAAAATAAAATTTTAAAATAAAATAATATATATAAATTTTGGAATTTTAAAAGGGGCAACGGAGCCTACTAGCCCCCTACCTTTGGTTTATGCCTGTACAACCAGAAAAAGCTTTTTGATTAATCAAAAGCAGAAAATTAAGTAGAAGTATGGTCAATAATTAATTAATTATTATTTATTAAAATATTATTTTTTATTTTTTATTTTTTATAAAAAATAAAAATATTACGTAAATATAATATATCATATTATTATTTATCATGATATATCAATATACATGATGTTAACACTACGTGATATAAAATGATAAGTGACGTTTTTATTAACGATAATTAATCAATCGTTAATTATAAAAAAAAATTTAATTCAAAACAAAAATAAAAAAATTTAATTAAATATAACAAAAAAATAAATATTTATTTAAATATTACATCGATAGTTATTTTAATTAAACAAAGTCGAGAATTATTTTGGTTAAACAAAGATGATTGTTTGAGTGGCTAATTTTATTTGGTTGATAACCAATTTTGCTTTTGCGATAGGGTTGAGAAAATAACAAGACGTTAAATAAATTGAATGCAGTCTTAATGTGTACGTGAGTGTTTAGATGAATGCAAGAACGATGTTAGGTCATTAGCTGGCTACTACACTTTCAACAGTTGTCCATCTTAAGATTGTTTCGTGCACAGGTCAACTAATATTTTAACGTTGCTCTAATCCTTTCCCCACCACCATTTTCTTTTGTCCCACTTACAAAACATCTTACAACACACCTAATCAACTATCAAGGAGGTTATCAATTCCTTGGAGGCCATATGTAAATTGAAACCAACATTTTGATTTTTACCCAATTGATGAAAATAAATGATGTTACATACGTGACGAAATTAAATGATTAAATTGATCATATCTTGATCGAAAAAATTTCACGTTCAATTAATTTCATCACATTAACATCCATGTTTTTAAAAATGCGACATATGTTATGTTAAGAAAGTAAAAAAAAAAATCAATCTAAAATTTCAAAATCTTAATAAGTTGGAAGTAACATTTAATTTTAAAAAAAATACATTGCTAAATAAGGATGTTGAAGTTTTCTTGACAATTTTAGTTTTTAAATCAGATTAATGAATATTTTAATAGATGCATATTAATTAAATTAATATTTTTAAAAAGATTTTTTTTATCAATACATTATTATTGTGGAATTAAAAAATAAACAACACATTAGTTAACCTAATTCTTTGTAATAGGTGGATTAACATTTCGTTTTAATGTTTGACTTGAGTCAGAAATGTCATCCATGTAGTTGACTTGACGTGCGACTTGGGAACGGTCAAATTACGTCAAGGGCTAGTCAGTTCGCTTTTGACGAAAACCCCGTTTACTTCTAGGGAGGGGGACAAAAGTACGAAGCCTGGTTTCCTCTTTGGCCTTTATATTTTTTTCTTTTCTAATTTTTTATTCTTTTCATCTGATTAGATTTTAATGGTTCAAGGTATTATTTGCACTTATTTCTTTTAATATTTATAACGAGAGTTAATATTTGATGCAATGGCATTAAATCCTGATATCTCATTACTGAAGTATTATTTTTTAAAAAATAAAAAATTAATAAATATCAAAGTAATACTTCATTAAGAAGATTCCAAAATAATACCTGTTTAATAAAATGTTAGAATTTGATTACTTGACTACATCAAATATTTTCCCCAGAAAAGGTCAGTAATTTATAGTCAACACCAGCTGGCCTGCACAATATATACCAACTCAAAGCTGTTTAGACTTAACAACTTTTGTGGAAAACGCTGAAATCTCCGCTGTTTCTTTGAATATTTCAAGTTAGCGCTTGAACCTTTACCTAAAAACTAATACCTTACAATGGAAGTGAAGTTTTTTTTTTTTTAAATTTAAAATAAATAAAAAAGATTAAAAGCCAAGATCAATTAAACCAATAAATTTTGTAAAACTTGCGGCACATATCATAAATATTAAACTTTTAAAAGATTTTTGTTGGTTTTTAATATTTACTCACAGAGTGTTGTAATTAAAATTCAAATGGATTTTTCACGATTTGCCAATTTTTAGTTGCCATTAAAATTTTTACATGACAGTAATATATTCGAAAAGTTAAGTCAACGTAATCGATTTTTATTTTTAATTTTTATTCAATTATTACTAATTTAATTTAAAAACTCTGCAAAAGTTTTGGTGGAATTTTTTAATTTTTTGGGTAGGAGATTTGTCCAAATTTATAAAATGACACTATGTAGGAGTATTAAAATATTAACATGAAATTAACAGTAACATTACCCCGTGAATGCAAAGGAAAAAAAACCAAGGAAAAGAAAATTAGGACCTCGTGTTTAATGATATTTGTCTCCCAACAACAAGAAAAGACACAAAGAATCAAATAATATATGTACCTTATCCTAACATTTGATGTTGGGCAGCTTGAGCTACAGACAAACTCACAAAGGCATCTTAATATTGCAGTTAAAAAAAAAAAACATAGTATTTAATGTATTCAATCATCTTACTTATTTAAGAAAAGTTTGTTCATTTAATTCCATAAACCTTATAGCTTTTTCCTTTTTAACATTTAGTAATTAATGCAAAAATGACTTATAAAATCAAAATTCTAGTCAGTATTTAATTTTCAGAAGCATACCAAACAGCTTCTATATACATAGTATATATTCAGTATTTCGAAGTTTTAAAGCTGAAAATTCGGTATTTAATTTTTTCCATATGATGTTGAATTTTTGTAGTCTCTTCAATAACACCTATATAAGTATTCTTTTCAATGAAATATTTTATCATAGGCAGTTTAGAAAATGAGTTACCAAAGGAAGCAAAGAAAGATTATCGATGTTAAAAAAGATAAATATTGTATTCCATAATCATATATTTTACAAAGTAACTTAACTATATATTATTACAAAAAAAAAATAAAAGAAGTGACGAATTCAAGATTTTGTATCAAAAGTAACTAAAAGGTATTATAAAAGTAATCACATTATATATTTCAAATTTTATACATATAATAATAAAAAAAATTAAAAATTGAGAGATGGTGGAAACCACCACTTTGACTCCGTCGATGAATGATATATATATTACGAAAAGTTAATCTTATTTATAGTCTAATTCTAACAAGATATTGGAGTGTACTTAGATAACAATATTGCATTATAAGTCTAATTAAATAATTTGTATAATTATTTGGTTATTAGATTGGTTAAATGAAATTGAAAACAAAAGGAAACATAATATAAATATTTTTGTTAAAACGAAAAACCTTAATTAATTTGTTGTCATGGCTTAAGAAGCTAAGATGAATGATAAAAGCAGGGAGAGAGAGAGAGAGAGGGATAAAGGAAAAAGCAACAAAAAATAATAATAAAGAGAGGTAGAAGGTGTGAATTAATTGTTCAGGGATGGGTTTGAGAGGGAAGAGAGAGGGGGCCCTTGAATGAAAATGGGAAGAGCAAAAGTAGCAGACTTCACAGATTGTATCTGATGTATGATAGATACCAAGCAACATTTTCTGAGGTGAGGAGCAAAAGACCTATCCATTTTCAGGTCCTCTTCTTCCCATGCCTCCCTACACCTGGCCCTTCCCTTCTACCAAGATATCCCAGGCATGACAAGACTTAATGCAAACCCTATTTTCTATCCACCTCAAAACACAATCTACTCTCTCTCTTGGTGGCAAACCAAGATTTCAAGTTTGAAAGGATAAAAGTAAAAAAGTCAATATTTGAGAAAGTGAATTTATAAAATTTTTAAAAAATCAAAAGTAAAATATAAAAAATTTTATAATCATATGAAATTTTGACCTATCAACCCCCGTCCTTTGTCTCTGCTCTCTTTGTTGAATTCTAAAGGAATGTCCTTTTTTTGTTCTTCCCTACATTGCCATAGTTAAAATCTAACTTGATTTGATTATAAAAGTTAACCGATTAATCCGGACGACATGAATCTACTATAATTTAAATTTAAAATTATCTTAACACGAAATAACTTGACTCAAAATGATCCAAACTCAAACTTCGAGTTAACTTTCACAATTACCACATCCCATGGGATGAAAGGTGGGTTAGGCTGCACCCAAAAGATGAAGACATGAAGCAATTAACATGATGAGATCAATCTCAACTTCCTTTTTTAATGTTTTCACAAGAAGGAAAATATTGAAAGTACATGCCCCTTTTATTTATTTATTTGCTAAACTGAAATTTCATAATCAATACATCATTTTCTGTAGTTGTGAATCGAAGAAAAGTGATACAAGCAATAAATTACATAGAAAGTGATAAATTAATATTTGTCCTTTAATTATTAAGTTATTATAAATAATTAAATCAGAATATGAA